GATCAATATTATGTAAAAAGCTCAATTTTGGTCAGATGACCCCAGAGGTGGTTTTTGCTGTGAAACGTCCCATATATCTATCCTGTATTTTATTTTCGTATTAACTGTGCTAGCTTTGCTAATAAACTGACCATAGTGATCGATTTTTTCCATACATATATTCATCATAAGAATAAAATGCTGAAAAAAAATAAGCCAGGTCTAATTCCTACGCATATTGAGAATTCCCGAATCAATGTTATTTATCTCTAGATATCTACATACCTCTTTATAGTCAAACACCGTTTTCATATCTTGAGATTTTCTATTAATTATAACTATATTTTCACCTTCTATTACGTGCATATATTTATCCCGGTTTTTAAATTGCATATACTACTTAGGATTATCAGTGAATCTTCCTTGAGTTTTTCGCCTATTATTACTAGATTTGCGAGACATATTAATATCTTATGTATAATGACGTATATATTAATATGGATAAACGACTTCAATTTTTTGCAAAAGTGATTGTAACCCGCATTAACGACATCAAAAATTATGATCTCATAGGATCTTATTTTATTGATATAAAAACGTTGCTAAAACAACGATATAAAAATAAAAAATTATATATATATATATATATTGGTGGAGTTTCACATTTGATCTAACATTTCGTTCCATTTACCAGGATTAATAATATTGTCGTCATTTTCTATATCTTTTTCTAATTTTTCTCTCGAAAGATTTTTCCAGTATCTACCATTATCAACGTTATAGTCATCGTCTTCTAAGGAGGGATCATAGGTCGTCAAATTATCTGATTTAATGTATAGAATACATAGATACAATCCGGTAAAATGAGAGTTAGTCTTGCTAATTTCGCTAATATATGAAGAGCATTTTTTTAACGAAGAGACCTACCAAAACTATCTTTCTTATTTTTGCGATTGATTTTAGATGATTTTGGTCTAGAAGATTTTTGTTTGAACGATGTTGAGTTATTAGTATTGTTAGTATTAGAATCACTAACACTGGGAACATTAGAATCGCTAACATTGGGAGCGTTAGAATTATTAGTATTACTCATTTTGCGCTTCTAAATATAAAAATTCATAATTAGTTAGTAGAATATCACTTTCTTTTTTGTAACATAAATGCCCAATTACATTACCTTAGAAATAAGTTGCGAGTATTTTTTTAAAAAAAATATATATAGTAGCGATGTTATTGCTAACCCACCTCATAAATCCAGTTTATTTATATTATTTCATTCGCTAAATCTGAGAACCTGCTAGAAGAAAAAAATTACATGATTAGTAATTACAATACCCAAACCATTTGCCAGATCCTTTCTTCGTAAAGCAAGTCAGGTCATAAGCGCTAAGCACTAAATATATGAGCCATAGACTATATTTCGCCTTTTATGGGGAAATTAAATCTTTCAATCTGACGATCGCTTTTGTAGAATAAAAAATAAGACAAATTTTGGCGATCTCGGATCTCAAGTTCCGTAACATATGAATTTTGATATTATTACTGATAAAG